ATTTTAAAATGCAAGCCTATCCTTTTTTATTCAGAGTTTATTCTTTTTGATTCATAAAAAAGGTTTACTTTTTGATAATACCCCATATAATTTAACTCTTCTAACCTTAATAAAAATGTGTAATTCTTTTTTTATAATCAAAAAGAATAGACTCTGTGAACCAAAAAGGATGAAATTGCTTTAAAAATAACAATAGATTTTGTTTTATTTTTTTTAACAATAAAAATTATCAACAGTTGTTATATATAATAAAATCAAATTTTATTATATTAATAAGTAAAATTGTTCAGAAAATCAAAAAATACAGTATATATACTGTATTAATATGTTTGTATATTTATGATTATAAAAACCAAATTTAAATTTATATATATACAGGCAAAAAACATCTAGTTTTTTTGAAATGCCAAATTTTAAAATTATATAATCAATTATAATTGGTCAATCTTTATAATTTATTTTGATTGGTTAATAAGTTATATACTGTAGATACTGTAGATAATTTTTTTTTATACATTAAATAAATTTTTAGACACAGAATCTAAAGTATTATATAACTTTTTAATATTATAAATCAATAAAAACCTATTCTAAAAGAATTTTACTTGAATTATATATAATAACTTTTTTGTATATAATGGATTTCTTTATTTTTAATAATGAGCATAACTAATCCAATCGCTAGCACGTGACTAGAGTTAATAAAAAGCAAGATATTAAAAATCTGTCTTATAAATTTGTAGTTTAGTTTAAAAATAATAAATCTGTAAGAGGTTATAAAATTATTAAACATTAAACAACCGCTAAAAAATTGTATGTTTTTTGCTATCCTGTACTGCATATATATAATCAGAAACCTGCAAATACCTATACTGAGTATATTAAACACCATATTTAATATTAATGCCTAAAAGATTATTTGTGATCTAAAATAGCCACAACAAATATCTGAAGTAGCACCTTGCCAACATTAAGCTCCTAAACTTAAATTAGTTCTAATTAAATATTATTTCAAATACATATTTAAATTTGTTACTCCACTTCAAATACAACACACATATACCTATATGTATAAATATATATATATTTTTAAAAAATATATATATCAAGCATAAAATTTTATATATCAAGCATAAAATTTTATATAATATTGCATTCAAATTTGAACATTTAAGCTGACAATTTAATGGATTACAAATAGATCAATGCATTAAATGCATATGAAGTCAAGAAATAGCATATCTTTCCTGATATATTGTATATGACCTTATTATTAGTATATTCAAATAATACAAATAATATGTCAATTATTAAATGAGAATAATATAAATTTATTCAACTTCTTCTTCAGTAAATTCGCTGTCATTGTCACCAAATATATCATCATATTCATTCAATTCATCGAGTTCGTATAAATTTCCTTCTTCATCTTGCATTAATTCACCTGTGGTGATGAATACCAGGTAATTACGTAAGTAAAAAGGATATAGTTCAAGTGTGTGTGCAAATTACCTTCAACTTGGTCTTTTGCACCTTGTAAATCACGCATCAACTCTTCGACCTAAGTTTATAAACTTTATTAAGAAAATTCAAGGTGATTTATTTAAATTAATTAGGTATTTAGATTGTTTACCCTGTTTGCAGAAGGATCACCTTCTTCTTCCTCCTCTTCAACTCCATCATCATTTTCCGTACAGGATACTTGTACCGTTAGTAGACTTATTTATTTATT